GCGCTGAGTCCCAGATGTCTAGAGTTAGGTTTGATTATAAGGATCCGCACCACAACTTTGATAGAAGCGCTGTTATTGGCGTCGTTTGCAATCTTTTTCGCGTCAGAGACACGAAGTATGCGTACGCTTTAGAGAAGGCCGTCGGCGGACGACTGTATAATGTGGTGATGAGAGACAGCCAATCGGCCAAAGCTATCCTCGATAGGGGACAGTTGCGGGAGAGGCGAACACTTATACCACTCGATCGCATCCAAGGCTACGACGCCGACCCCAGAGCGCTGAAGAGAGCGCGCAATATTGTCGGCCACGAGAATGTGGACTACGCTATCAATTATGTGGATTACGACCCGAGTCTTAGCGTTGCGATGAAACATGTTTTCGGCGACACAATGATTGTGCCCGACATGGAAATCGCCAAAAGGATTGTCTATGAAGTTCACAAAACTGCCGTTACTTTGGATGGAGAAGTGATTGAACCGTCGGGTGTTCTGTCCGGTGGCTCCACATCACAAGGAACTCAACTCTTAGCAAAAGTGGCAGAGATTTTAGACAAGCGAAGAATGTTTGAGGAATTGAAACATTCTATGACTGAAATGGAGAGAGAATTTCAAAATTTAAACAAAGACTCCAAGAATTATATGACAACTAAACAAAGCTTTGAACTGAAGGAACGCGAAGCAGAACTGGTCCGACAGAGACTACAACAGGGAAACAGCGCTCACAGTCTGATGGAAGAGATCGAAGCGTTGAGACAAACGATTGAAACCGAAGAGAAAGCTCTTAAGGATTGCGCGGAGATTAAGAAGAATTCGACAAAACGTGTGAACGAATTGAACGATAAGCTCAAGAATTCAAAGTCTATTCGCGAGAGAGAACACAAAGAGGCGGAACAGAACCTGAAGAACGCCAGAACTCAGGCCGAAAAGGCGCGCAAAGCTATGGCTGACGACCAACAGAAAGCAGAGAGTCTTCAGCTCGAGATCGAAGAGTTGACTAAACAGATGGTGTCTTGTGAACAACAACTCAATCAATTCCGAACAGAAATCGTTGACAAACGTAAAGAAGTGACAGAATTTGAAGAGCGAGTGAATGAAGTGAAGCAAAGGGTCAGTGAATTGAGTGCAGAACTAAAAGAACACAAAAGGCTTTTAAAGACACATTCGGACGAAATGTCAAAAATGCAGAAACAAAGGGAATCCGTTCTGAAGAAGGCCGAAGAGAATGAACTCAAAATCAAACAAATTAAATATGAGATCGAAAAAATCAAGAACTCTTCGGCAGAATCGGCACAAAATGTAAAGCATATGAAGAGAAAGAATCCGTGGATTGAAGAGGAGAGGCATTTGTTTGGCAATGAGAGCGCCGGATATGGTTTCAATAATTTCGATGGCAGTGACTCTAACCGACGATTAGAGCGATTGAAATCAACGAAAGCTTCTCTCGCGAAGACGGTTAACATGAGAGCGAATATTATGTTAAGCGATAAGGAAAAAGAGTCGGAAGAGTTGAGTCGAAAACGTGGTATTGTGGCCACAGATAAGTATAATCTAATCCATTATATGGAGGAAATGGACCAAAAGAAAAAGGACGCCCTCTTCAAGGCGTGGGAGAAGATTAATGTGGATTTTGGCGATATTTTCTCTACATTTCTGCCCAATTCTAACGCCAAACTGGAAGCGCCCGAAGGCAAAGACGTGACCGACGGGTTGGAAGTGAAAGTGGCGTTCGGAGACGTCTGGAAGGACTCGTTAACCGAATTGAGTGGCGGTCAGCGATCGCTGGTGGCGTTGTCGCTGATTCTGGCGCTACTGAAGTACAATCCGGCGCCGCTTTATATCCTCGACGAAGTGGACGCAGCCCTCGACCAGAGCCACACACAGAACACTGGAATTATGATTAGAACTCATTTCCGTAATTCTCAGGTTTGTCCCTAACTTTTGACGGCCTTTTATTCTCATATTTAACTCATTGATGGTTTGTTTGTCTTATAGTTTATAATAGTGTCCCTCAAAGACGACATGTTTAACAACGCGAACGTTCTGTTCAAGACTCGGTTCGTCGACGGGACCTCTCATGTCACTCGTCTTCAAAGCACGAGAAATAAATAACACATGAGTTTCACCACTCATTCAAATCATTTGTAATTTATTCACAGCTTTTTATGAGTTTTCAATTTAATTTGATTTTAATGTTTAACTAAAAGATTACTTTTTTAAATATTACTATTTAAAATGCCTTCAATTATACCAATTATTCAGTTTGTGGACAAATTTTCGATATAAAACGACAGTGAATTGTCTCACAAATTGTTGTTTTAATAAAATTAATATTTGATTATAATTTATTGAAATTATTTAAATGTTTAAAATAAAAATATTGATAATTTGAAAAATATATGAACAAAGTTTAAAATAAAGACAATTCTGTTATCATTTGACAGATTTCAAGAATAATCACAATTAAGTAAATAAAATGAGTTGTTTTTAAGAAACTAACAATTCTTGAAAATAATATAATTTAACAGAACTAAAAGAACACAAAAGGCTTTTAAAGACACATTCGGACGAAATGTCAAAAATGCAGAAACAAAGGGAATCCGTTCTGAAGAAGGCCGAAGAGAATGAACTCAAAATCAAACAAATTAAATACGAGATCGAAAAAATCAAGAACTCTTCCGCAGAATCGGCACAAAATGTAAAGCATATGAAGAGAAAGAATCCGTGGATTGAAGAGGAGAGGCATTTGTTTGGCAATGAGAGCGCCGGATATGGTTTTAATAATTTCGATGGCAGTGACTCTAACCGACGATTAGAGCGATTAAAATCAACGAAAGCGTCTCTCGCGAAGACGGTTAACATGAGAGCGAATATTATGTTAAGCGATAAGGAAAAAGAGTCGGAAGAGTTGAGTCGAAAGCGTGGTATTGTGGCCACAGATAAGTATAATCTAATCCATTATATGGAGGAAATGGACCAAAAGAAAAAGGACGCCCTCTTCAAGGCTTGGGAGAAGATTAATGTGGATTTCGGCGATATTTTCTCTACATTTTTGCCCAATTCTAACGCCAAACTGGAAGCGCCCGAAGGCAAAGACGTGACCGACGGGTTGGAAGTGAAAGTGGCGTTCGGAGACGTCTGGAAGGACTCGTTGACCGAATTGAGTGGCGGCCAGCGATCGCTGGTGGCGTTGTCGCTGATTCTGGCGCTACTGAAGTACAATCCGGCGCCGCTTTATATCCTCGACGAAGTGGACGCAGCCCTCGATCAGAGCCACACACAGAACACCGGAATTATGATTAGAACTCATTTCCGTAATTCTCAGGTTTGTCCCTAACTTTTAACGGCCTTTTATTCTCATATTTAACTCATTTATGGTTTGTTTGTCTTATAGTTTATAATAGTGTCCCTCAAAGACGACATGTTTAACAACGCGAACGTTCTGTTCAAGACTCGGTTCGTCGACGGGACCTCTCATGTTACTCGTCTTCAAAGCACGAGAAATAAATAACACATGAGTTTCACCAGTCATTCAAATCATTTGTAATTTATTCACAGCTTTTTATGAGTTTTCAATTTAATTTGTATTTAATGTTTAACTAAAAGATTACTTTTTTAAATTTGACTTAACATAAAATGCCTTCAATTATACCAATTGTAGTCCAATTATTCAGTTTATGGACAAATTTTCGATATAAACGAGAGAGAATTGTCACACAAATTGTTCTTTTAATAAAATTAATATTTAATTATAAATTATTGAAATTATTTAAATGTTTAAAATAAAATATTGATAACTTGAAAAAATATACAATATGAACAAAGTTTAAAATAAAGACAATTCTGTTATCATTTGACAGATTTCAAGAATAATCACAATTAAGTAAATAAAATGAGTTGTTTTTAAGAAACTAACAATTCTTGAAAATAATATAATTTAATAAAACTTTTATAAGGAAAGCCTTTCATAAGAACGCTATATTATCTTCTGATAGACTCGACTTACAATGATTTCATGTAATTATTAAATTAAATGAAACCAATTCTACGAAGTATTCGTATACACAGTATTCTATACCATAAATAAAATCTATTTGACAATAAACGGTATTACTGTTAGAATTTTAGTATAAATTAAGTAAATATTACGGAATTAATATTAAGAAACGTTATTATAGTAAATATTCGTTGCAATCCTTTGATAAAATCTCAATTATATAAGTTTGAAACTAAATAATTAGTAAAGTTGTACTTAATATGCCTTACAGAATATTTCACATGAATTTATAAGAGTAATGTTTTTTAAGTTACAATTTTGCCAATATAATTTACAGTAGATTATATGTAAATTACCAGTATCTTTAAACCTTACACGTAAATTACAAACTAAATACCACGTAAATCTTAATTTTAAAAAGTTTTACCCAAATATTCTATAATTATAGTAATTTGATATAATACTGAACTTGACATTTATTATTAATCAACTAAATAATAGCAATTGCAATTTAATTATTCATTTACTAATAAAATCAACTAAAATTTTAAGTACAATTTGCTTATAAAATAAACGAATTTTACTGAATATGACTGTAATTTACGTAATATTACACGTAATGAAAGATTCAAATGAACATTACATGTAATTCTCCAACATTAGAGTTGGTGTCAACGCTATCGCAATGGCAAACGTGTTTGCATTGAATATCGCATACAAAGCGCTATCTCTTTGCATACATTTACAAGTGTTTTGAGAAACAAGTTTTGTATTTCATTCTTCACTCAAAAGGCTTTTTGTTAATCAATGAAATATCAATAAATTAAAACTTTTTGTGAATCAAATGTATTATACATTGAATGCACTGTAATATCGAGGAGTGATTGCATTGAATGCAGTGATCGAGTGATTGCTCTGTCATTGAGTGAGATATAAGTTTGGGATCGAATGGTTTGAATGCACAGCAGATTTGGCACTCGTTTAGTGAATCACTTCATTCACTGTCACTTCAATTGTCACTTCAGTTCACACCAACTCTTCGTTCACCGCAAACACCAATTGATTGCATTTCCATACAAATCGTGTCAACCGTTGAGCACATCATCCAAACCATCACTAATGGGGGTTCGGTTGCCATCTCTTCCCTGACTATCACTTTGTTATCACTGATTGCCCTTTGATTTGCAGAAGAAGGCCATTCTGTTAGGCGTTTACGAGAAGAGCGACGACAAAGACAACTATGTCTTCACTCAAAACGCCACCAAATTTGATGAGACAATTGATGGCAAACTCACGAACGCTATAAACATGTGATTTGATTGCGAAGTGATTAGCATTTGTTTCACACAATTATTTGCTTTGTTTCCCAGAATCGGACCCTTGAAGAAGAGTAAGTGTCGCGTCTTTTACGGCTTGAGTCCATCGCATCCGGTGGTGGCTGTCGTCGGTTTGGGTCCAAACAATGCCGGCTATAACGACGCCGAAGAGGTGGATGAAGACCGCGAGAACATCCGCACCGCCATCGCTGTCGGCGCCCGAACTCTCAGAGATATTGGAACTATTGATGAGATCGATGTCGACGACTGCGGCGACGGAGTGGCGGCCGCAGAGGGAAGTCATTTGATTCTCTATAATTACGACGAACTGAAAGGCGATTCTCTGAAGAAACCGGTCATTAAATTAAACCATTTGAATGCTTTGAACGACTCGTCGGCCGAATCCAAATGGAATTATGGCCAAAGTCTGGCCGTCGGACAGAACTTCACCCGAAAACTGATGGAAACACCGGCAAATCTGATGACTCCAACCAAATTTGCTAACATTGCTGTCCAAGAGTTAACTAAACTGTAATTCAGTTCTCATTCTAGGACTTAATCAATATTTTAATGAATGCATTGAATTGATTGCAGTGGTGTTGAGGTTCACGTGCGGGACAGGGCGTGGGCTGAGGCCAAGAAAATGGGATCATTTCTAAGCGTGGCTAACGGTTCCGATGAACCGCCGATATTTTTAGAAGTATTTTATATGATTTATAATTCTTTAGGGAAACCGAAATAACAGTTTATTATTTATATTGAAATTATGTTTAGCTTCACTACAATAACGCACCCAATACTAAGCCATTGGTCTTTGTGGGCAAAGGTATCACTTTCGACAGCGGAGGCATCTCTTTGAAACCGTCCGCAAATATGGACAAAATGAGGGCCGATATGGGCGGAGCGGCCAATGTTTTCGGCGCCATCTCTACACTCGCCGCCACTAAAGCGGCTGTTAATGTGATCGGCGAGTATTGCCATCGATTGACATAAAATTAATTTTTAATATTATATGACAATGACTATAGGTCTGACACCATTGACTGAGAACATGCCGAATGGAAAGGCCACCAAACCGGGTGATGTGGTGTTCGCCATGAATGGCAAAAGCATTCAAGTGGACAATACGGACGCCGAGGGTAGGCTCGTGTTGGCCGACGCTCTCTGTTATGCGCACAGCTTTAATCCGCAACTCATCGTCGATATGGCCACTCTTACGGGCGCTATGAGAGTAGCGTTGGGCGCCGGCGCCACTGGCGTGTTCTCCACGTCCACTAAACACTGGAATCTGTTGCAGAAATCCGGTGTTCAGACCGGAGACCGGGTCTGGAGATTGCCTTTGTTTTCGCACTACACTAAACAAGTGGCCGACAGCCAGTTGGCGGACCTCAACAATATAGGCGGTGCGGGCGCTGGCGGTGCCTGCATTGCGGCCGCTTTTCTCAAAGAGTTCGTCACTCATCCAAATTGGATGCATTTAGACATCGCTGGCGTTATGGACAACAAAGACGAAGTGCCGTATTTGGGCAAAGGAATGGCCGGACGACCGATGAGGACTTTGGTCTACTTCGCAAAAGCACTCTTTAGTAATGAATTTACTGATTAATTGAATGCATTATATATAATGTCCAAAAGAATTATAATCTCTTTTGACACTCATTTGTATTCAATTTTATTTAAAAATGAATTTTAAATGCTTTGAACACCTCATGAAAATGTATTGATTTATTTTAAAAATGTGTTAACGTCTGGAATCGGGTAATCCTATGTTGGATGTCGTTCTCTCCAAGTAAGCCAACGGTCCCTGAAGTCCTACGGGGTGTGGCTGTTGTTGTTGTTGCTGTTGTGGCATAAATTGTTGTCCCATTGGTTGACCACTTTGTTGTGTCTGCATCTGACCCATCATTGGTCCCATATTTGTCTGCTGACCGCCTGTCATAGCTGTTTGTGGCGGTGGCGGCGGAAGCATTCCCACCGGTCCTGACATCTGACCCGAAGCCATCATCTGTGGCGGAGTCATCGGTCCAGACATTTGCGGACCCATCGATGGTCTCATTAAATGCGGTCCATTTCCAGCGGTTCCACTTTGAATGGTATGTCTGAGTGGGGGCTGAGATTGTGGCGGTTGTTGCGCCCCAAGCGGTGTCTGCGGTCCTGTCATGGATTGGTTCAGCGATGTCTGTCTTTGCAATGGATGGCTGCCATCGCTGTTGGCAACCGTCTCATTGATCAATGACTGCCAGATCTGTAATTTATCGTAATATTTGGCCAGAATTTGATCTTTTCTCGCGATTTAATTCTTCAGTTCAATACAGTCTTCAGATAATATTAGTTCCGGCTTTTGATCCGAAAGCAAAAGTCGTTTTTGTAGAAAAAAGCATTCAATTTGTCGGCCGATGTCGAGGAAGCGTTGGACAGTTTGCTCGACACTAGTCTTCACTTCATCCGAGTCGTGGATGTGAACCGTCGATGGGTTTGTCAACGAAGACAAACACGACTAGAGATGGAAAGACTGGGATTAAGTCTTCAGATGGTTCTCACATCCAAATCAAGTCAAATCATTCTCACCTGAAATGCGGTCTCGAAGTCATCGATCAGTGAATTATTATTAGTTGTCATTTCGGTGTCAAAAATGTACTGAAAGTCAAATACAAATAAATGTATTGAATATGAAAATCAAAACTAATTGCAAATTAAAACTTCAATCAATCGATGAATTCATTAATTGATAACAATTTACAGCAAATGTAACGACGAATCCATTGTGAGAGTCAACACAAATCACTTTCAATACAACCCCTCGTATTGTGTGTCACGTGAGAGCCCGAGAGACAGCTCAAGAAGTCTTGTTTTTTTGGCCATTTCTCGCCTCTCATGTCATTTGACACAAGAAGTGATGTCAATATGGGTTCAGATCGGGTGCTGAAGTAATTTTGTACAAAATGAGACATATTTTGTACATTTTATGGCATTTCCTTTACTTTCCTAAGTTTTCAAACTCAAGTTAATGGGAGTTAAAGTTGTTTATGAGAGGCTATTGGGGGACCGTTTCATCATTTAATTAAATTTACTCAATAATTAGTAAATTGTTATTAAATTTGTCACCAATTGGTCCGTAAATGACATGAAATAGTGGTTGATTGAGGAGACAATGTTAGGGACATATGATATGAAATGATGGTCAAATGGATGGGAAGTGATGTCGTGATAGGGCTGTGTGTGAATGGAGAGCCCCTACTGTAATGGTTGAGTCCAATGCCTTGCATTGGTTATAGCGTTTGCAGTGGAGGTAAGGGTAGAGCAGAGCTGTTGTATTGAATGTATGTTTGAATTGAGAGTAAAAACAAATTTTCAAAATAACACCAAAAGAAAGACTGACTGAACAGTGAATATACATAAAGCGATCGCAGAGTCCAAGACTTACCACTCTTTTTACACCCTTTTATGACGATATAGTTATTTGATTGAAGTATTATAAGACACCATTAGTTTATGTCCAACTGTTAGACCAGTTGTCAAGTGATAGCAATCCCGAAGTATAGCAGTAATAGTCGAGCGAAGAGTTTCATTATCGCAACAAATGGCAAATTTACCCAAATTTGTAGTCATGTCTAATGGAGTGAACCATTCATTGCCATCACTTCCAGACTCGCCGCCCATCGATGACAATCACCACGACTTGGATGACGACATTGTCATCAATGGTGACCACGAAGGCAGTGATCTCAAGCGCACAGCCATTGATGAGCGCATCAAACGACGGGCGAAGAGGCCCTCAGCGAAGATCACGATCGACACAACTCTGGCCATGAATGGCATGAATGGCGGACTTCACCCCCTCCTCAACGGCCACTCGCCTCCAGTCGACGGACAGATGTCTCCCGACATTCACGGCAAGACTAACGGAACAAAACTGTTGAAACAGTTCACTAAAAATAGTCGTCGATCTCGAGGAAGGTTCGGAAGAGGACTTCCCAAGAAAGGTATGTCATGTCATGTCTTAATTCGGGTCTCAATTGAGATAATTAGTGGCAAACAATCGCTCACAGCGTTCAACGCAAACCCAATGCTCTTTAAATCTATTTATTAAACAGTGTTTTGAATGTCTGAATGAATGGAAAGTTAGTGTCAAGTATTGGACAGGAAGTGTATCTATGTATGCAATGGATGTGTTGGAAGTGATTGTGTCTGAAGTGTACAAAAGATGGTAAAATGTTGAAAAATATGCTCAAAATAACGGCTTAAGTAAACTAAAAGCTAAAAAAAGAAAAGTGTTTTCGATATCAATAGTGCTTTGATATCGAAGAGAGTTGTTGTGCAGACTCTATGCATGTCTTCGATAGTCATTTAAATGCTTTCAATACACAGCTCTGTGTTATGTGTTGTGAGAGCACAGCCTATGCTCTGCTATATATGTTTTGCCCACACTATCGACCCCTCCATCGAGTGTAGGCTCGAGTAGTGATTGGTTGGTGTGATCTCTTGCGATGCCATTCCTCACCACTCAATGGCCAGACATATGCCATGAGCTCTCGTTTCCCGCTAAACACTGCACCTAAATGTTGGCCAACAAAACACTATCACATCTAACGCTCTCTCCCCTCTATCTCTCATTGCTCTCCCTATCTCTCTCTCATTGCTCTCCCTATCTCTCTCTCATCGCTCTCCCTATCTCTCTCTCCTCTCTCCGCAAACTCTTCCTAGAATTTAAATGCCAGCAAAACTATCGATACATATGTTTACCATTGAATGCATTTGCCTATCGATACGTGACTGCCATAGCGTTTGTGTCCCATATTTTAATATGATTATAATGGAGAGAAAACGGCTTTAATATAATTTGTTTGTTTTTCAATGAAAATTTGCTAAAATGTGTTTAAAATGTAAGCCTTTTTGGCAGCAATTAATGGTAGTATGTATTGAGCGGAAGCAGAAAGTAGTGTGTTTTGGGCCGACTCTCAGCGAAAACACAGCGAAACTCACTGTTTATGTTGTTGTCCTTGAATTGCGAGTCTTGTTGTAAATAACTATTGCTTTCCATTGGTTTTGGCACTTGTTTTGCAGGCGAAGGGGGAGTGTCTATAACTGGGCTTACAGTGGGTTTGGGTCCCAGTCTTACCAAAACAAAGGTGACCTTCACTTCAATTGATTCAATCGACGGCTACACACCATAGCATACCATACCATACCTTCCCGACTCCACTGGCATTATAACAATCCTAATATACAGTACACTGTATTCTCGATACAAACAATGATTACACTATTGCCTAATACTGTACAATATATTATATAACATTACATCGATTGAGTCTATGGTTGTGTTGTATTGAATGAATGACAGCGTTATATAATTTATTAATTTTTAATTCAATTGATTTCCAAACGAAATCTATCGTAAAATAATGTGAAAGCGTTTCATGTAATACATATGCAATAATCGGCACAAATTAATAGCTAATGTAATGTCTCGTTCATGTCGTGAGTATTTTTTACTCAATTATACACCAAATAATACCATTTAGACATGTGTTATGTTTTGAAATTATGTTTAATTTAGCTTTTTATGCCTTTAAATAATTTTCCATTGAAAAAACACATAAACACAATACTATTTAGGAAATCACAAGACATTTATAAAACCCAAAAGTCATTGAATTTATTCACACTCTTGTTATGTATTTATATATCCTATAAACAAGTCATTTGGAAAGTGTTCAAAAAATTGCAAAGTTTTAAATAATAAATGCATGATTTAATTATCGATAGTATATTTGTTGTTTAATACGAGACGTTTTGCGCTATTTGTGAGCTTTATTTGATCAAAATAAAAGTTTTAAGTTTCGTTTAACGTGTCGTAAGAATTGGAAAACATATTTAATAGATTTTTATTATTTTTAGTAATTATTAATATTTATATGTTTAGAAACAATTAGATGAAACATCTTTTCGCAAGCAGTGAAGAGACAGCTCTGTATTTACTGCAAAATGCATTAATTTATTTCTTTTTTGTCTTTTATATGTATTTTATGTTTTCTCTTTCATTTGATGCAAACATAAGCGAAGAATTTGCTGATTGTTTTGAATGACCGGTAAATTGATTCAGTTTTTAACTCAACGTTAATTGTAATCACTTTTTGCAGCGAAAACGAGTCTTTATAACCGGTTTTGATTTCCATTCAATAAGATTTGAATCTTAATGTTTAGGCGAAAAGTATAATTATTTGGGCAAACATTCATTAATGAATACCACAACTCCTTATCCCTTCCCATACGTGTTCTCTCGCCTACACTTCATTTCATTTCACTATCAAATGTTTTGCTTTTATATTATTTTTTATTATTGTTATAAGTTTGTAATATTATAGTAAATGTTAGATAACTTTTTTATAACCAAAATATTTTAGAAATAGTGTTGTTTCATAACTAAATTAAATAACAATCTCTCGCTCTTTAGTAACAGTATATTATAAAAACAAATAAAATGTAATTTTTATCTAATCTTATCATTTTAGAGATTATTTTATTGACTCGAATTGCCTTTTTGTTTGTTTCCTATACTTGTCTTAGATTTGTAACAAAGACTAGTCATTGCAAATGATTTAGAAATTTGCTTCTTCTCATTGAATGTTCATTTGATGAGAAAATATTCCTAAAATATATTGTTTTGCATTCAAAAATTAATAACATTTGGTTGCCATTAGTAGGTCTTTGAGATAAGTTTACTGTTTATGTGAATATCTTATATAATTAGTTCACATCTTTTTGTTTTAATAATACATATAATTTATATGTTATAACTTATAAGATTTTTCATAAACATATTTATATTAATGACTACAACAATACAGTGAACTTTCTATATAGTGACTCTCTATACAGTGTATTTTCCATATAGTGTACAAAATATGTTAGTTTGGCGGACACTGTATGCCTGTAATGTTATTTCCGCTCCATATAGTGACTGTATCCATACAGTGTAAATTCTATATAGTGGCCAAAATTTTGCTAATTTTGACTATATTTTACTATTTTTACGCTCTTTATAGTGTTTTATGGTATGAGACAACAATTTTTTGTCTTGTAATTATTTAAAATG